AAACACTTTCCAGTGAGCATTTTCTCCTTTGATTCTAATTGTCGAGCCGGAAATCCGGCATTAAATTATTTTTGGCCCTATGACAGACTATAGCTGAAAATGAAAGCAAATGCACTGCTTTGCACAATTCACTATTCTTCTTTTACGGGTTTAAAGCCCTAAGAGAAGATTGTTGAGGAGAAGCGGGCGCATTTTTGAGTATTTAAGCGCATCGCGTTTGGACGAAAACAAACCGCATAAGAGTGACAGAAAAGCTAACTTCTCCTGCTCTAAATACTCAAAAATTCCCCGCTCATTATGTGGAACGTTTTGTCGACGACGGGGGGGGGGGGGGGGTGCATTATTCAGTAGGCCCTCTCAATCCGGCTGAGCTTACTGGATCGTTTACGTGAATGAAGAGCGCATGTGCGGATGCATGTGATGTTATTGGGCTAGATTACGGTAGCTGCCCGGATGCATCCGGACGGGCAGCTTCGGCTTGAAATTTAGCGACTGGGACTTCTTTTTTAGGGACCAATAGCGATTTTCAACCCCGAAATATATTGACCTTTTCTCTCTTCATTCAATACGTGGCTCAACTCCTTGCATTCTACCGTAATCGAGCTCCGATGTTGCGAACCAGCTGTCGGCTGACTTTGACGAAAACTTCTAACCTGCGCTGACCTTCCACTAAGTTGAAGATCAGATGAACTAAGCCGCTCTAAAAACTCGAAAAAGAGCTTTTCAAGAATACTAAAGTTAGAAATCGGTGTCGGGTAGGTCAAACACTAGAAGTGGATTTTTTAAGTATTTTTTAGTTGTAAAAATCGCTGCTTTGGGAGAAATCGAATGTTCAAGGATCTTCGAAAGCTTCCTTCAGAAAGTTAACTCGAACTACGAAATCGATATCGGCTAGGTTTAGCTGTAAACACGGATTTTTTAGTCGTATAATTTGCTGCTTTGATAGAAGTCAAATGGTCCCGGGTTTTCAATAGCTTTCTTCTGAAAGTCAGGGAGTTTTTTTTTCAAAAATTCAGGACCGTTGACTTGCTACTTTGGAACCTTTTTAATTTCATCCCGGAGTGTGATATTGTGAAAATTTCGAGCGTGAGAATTTTTTCGAGTTTAGAAACTCAATATTTACCTTTTACAATTTAGAGGAAGAAAAATGAGATAAGAAGAAAAATTGCTATCGGAAAAATGCATTCAAAGCATTCTGAAACACTAAAACCTTTAAAAGATTCTGAATCATTTCTTGTCTCTTAATATAAATCTAAATTTTTGAACTTCCAAAAACTTCACGAGCTGACCCCACTCCCCCCCCCCCCCCCCCCTCCCTTTTGCCCACATAAAAAAGACCACCCAAATGTTTCCATTGCCCATTAAATGTCCACCGCCCCCCCCCAAACTCGCCAACATTTATGCATGCCCCTATATGCATTGCTGTCGCTACGGTATTTTTCCAGCTAAGGAATTTTGGAAGGCTTTAACGTGTGAAGTGTCGCTTAAAGAGCATCGGCATTGTCGTCAATGACACGATTATGACGTCGTAAAAAATTCGCCGACAAACGTTTCGTTTCAAAGCAAATGCCTGTAAAGCTAAATATCTGTGCATATGATCGGGTCCCACGACGATGGATCGGCATAGAGAAACGTATCGAATGGCTTCTTCTGTCCAGATGTCATTTGAACAGGATTTTTTGAAATGTTTTTTCGTGTTGTAATGAAATTTTCAGGGGATAACTTGATCATGTTGAAATACTGTAGCTTTATTGATTTATTTGTGAATTTGACAAAAAACGTAAGTATCGGTTATTTTAATTTATTTGCCAAACTCGGAACCTGAAAAAATGAGCCTGCTTGTTAGGCTAATTTAGGATCAGTCGCTGGAATGAGAATTCAAAATTAGAGAAGAAATTTTCTCTTTTGAATAGTCTAGCAAAAGATTTGAGTTCTATAATAAAGCAAAGGCTAGCATTTTTAGGCTAAAGGTCTCCAAGAACACATTACGCATCCATCGCCAAGAAAATGCGAGGAAACTCCAAGAATTTGTCAGAAAACTTTTTTTGCGAATTCATGAATGCGTTTTGGCTAGCCAGACATTCTGTCAAATTTGTTCTGCTTCGAATGAAGAACTGGGAAAATACCGACGACATTGCTACTGAAATTCTGGCTTTTTCAGGTTACTCCAAAACACTTCAAAATCAGGATTAGGGTAAAAATTTTATGTGAACGCCCTAGCTACATATGTGAAAGTTCTGAACCAAGTTACTGGGTAAATTCCGATGTAACTTAGTAATGTGGGTTTCAAACACAGCTGGGTAAGCAGTTAGGTTAAACTTTTCGACCAGCTATCTGGAGCCAATCAAAAAGTGAGAAAAGGAGATAGCGACGAAATTTGAGGAGAAAAAAGGTACAACTTTCCATAGCTTTACATAAACCTATGCATTCTGCCTTTACTTCAGTTTTTTGCGATACACAAAAATGGACATGCGTCCCCCATAGAATGTTGATTGTAAGGATTCTGGCAAACTCCACAAAATTCTAGGATCAGCTAGTCACAGCACTAATAATGAGCGGCAACCCCAACACGATGAGAAGCAGACAAAAAAGCAGTCCTGTAATCGATGCTTTTGCTTTGGAGGAGTAAAAACATCCCAGTTCGTAAACAGTTCCCAGCTGTGGTTTGACGGGGGAAGAGAAGTCCACTCCGGCCGTACTCCCACACATAAAAACAATTTTAGACAATCAGATCGATCCGTATTGGTACTAACCAGGAAATAAATCCTCATGTGGGATGTTTAGATCATTTCCAGGAGAAATTCGTCCAAGTTTTCTCTTTTTCCGAATCTAAATTTTTAGAAGTCCTTATGCAAGCGTTTGAATCGTGGCTTCTGGAAAGGTAAGAAGCACTCGACATTCTTCTTTTTTTTGCTCAAAGAAAAATTCAAACTTTTGAGACTTGGTTGATTTCATAAAATTCAGTTTTTGTCTCAAACGAACGCACTTACAGTGATTTTCTCAAATTTCGCCAACGTTGTTTCGAGTAAAATCGTTCAAGTTCTTTCAGAATCGAAATTTTCAGAAGTCCTCATGCAAGCCTTAGAATCTTGTTTTTCAGAAAGAAATATCCAGCAATTCTCGTCTTATTCAAAAAAAAACTTTGAGCTGCCTCGGAGTGATTGATTTTATAAATAAAATCAACTTTTCTCTCAAACGAACACAATTACAGTGATTTACTCAAATTTCGCCAACGTCGCTTTGAGTAAAATTCGTTCAAGTTCTTTCAGAATCTAAATTTTCAGAAGTCCTCATGCAACCCTTAGAATCTTGTTTTTCAGAAAGAAATATCCAGCAATTCTCGTCTTATTCAAAAAAAAACTTTGAGCTGCCTCGGAGTGAATATTTTCATAAATAAAATCAACTTTTTCTCTCAAACGAACACATTTACAGTGATTTACTTAAATTTACTGCAAAGCTGAGGATAAGCGTAAGGAACGAAAGCGAAAAAAAAAGACAGAGAGTGAACATCTCAGAACTCCGTATGCTTATATAGTGTACGATTCTATTTTTGACCACACCTTCCAATTAGGTGCGAGTTTTCTAATGCACCAGTTTTCTAATGACCTTTAGCGGTCATAAGAAGTTTCGAATATGTGGTAATCCTTTTTTGATTAACAAGATTTTCCATATGCGTACCTCAGCTAAGCTGGAGATTTACAAGGATGTCATCAGTGCGTAGAGATGTCACTTACTTACACAACATCTCGTTACGTGATGGTGGGTAGTGGTGGTTATTTGTAACCTGGTTGAGAAAAATGTCACTTTCAAAATGTCTCGCTGCGTAGTAGTATCTGCGGTAGTAGTAGTCTGTTACCTGATTTGAGCTGATTGGGTTATTCTGTAAATTTATCAAGAGCTCACATGATAGATAAACTTTGAAGTGCAGTTTCTGAGCAAGGCAATATTTAGCTAACCGTAAAATTCTGCATTTACTGACATATTTTCAGAAATAAATTTCAACTTTCAAAAAAACTGCGAGATTAGTGGCTAAATTTTGCAGACTAGGATGAATTCTATTTGTTGTTCACTATAGTGAAGCATCTTCGATTGCATTTTTTTATCGTTCGACAAATATTTCAGGATGCTAATATTGTACAGTTTGTCTAAGATATCTTTCCTCCCTACAGAGATACTTTATTTTCTAGGCTTATATTAGGTTGGCTGAAAAAAAATTTTGTCTGTTAGCATTCTACTCAGCGAACAACAATATAATTGTGAATGCTAGCTATCTTTAATTTCGGTAATCAGAAATACGAAATTCTCACACATTTGCGAGCCGCAACGCGATATCTTGCGTCTTTTCGCTTTTTACTCATTGGAAAAAAATTTCTATTTGGACAGAATGCATCTTCCGATTGTCAGTAAGATCTACTCCTTCTGATGGTATCAAAATTGGATTCGCCAAAGTAACCGATATTGTCTATTAGCTAGCTTGATACTTACCCATGCCCATAACAAACTAGGTCTTCTTCAAAGATCATAACTTCTTGCGTCTTGATGGAATTTGTTCAAAGTAATTTCTTTAAAAGCAGAAATCATGCGCATCACATTTCTTTGGTGTGTATTAGTAAGCAAAAATGTACTAGCACAAAAAAAATTACCCAGAATCTGCAGATAGCATTTTTGAAGCGTCACTAAAAATACAAAAGAGCTGCAGGATCAGATTTTGAATAGATGTTGGTAGTTGCTATATCGAATCAAAGGCTTGAATTCTATTGAAGTCTAAGAAATTGATTTTTTGCCTCAAGATTTGCTAATCTTGAATAATTTCCTTTATTTGATACTAAGTCTCGCATTCAAATGATTGGCATGTACTGCTGTGAGGCGCATGATTTTTGCTTTCAAGAATTCGAAAGAATTCGGTCAAAATGGAAAAGAGTTATGATTTTTGATGGAATCTTCTAACCAACTTTAGGACCAATCTGGTAAAACTGCACAAAAGGCAAAACAGAACTCACTGTAAAATCGTACAGCTAAGGCAGAGAGCGGCTGGGCTTGATTGAGGACGCGTTGTTGGGGCTTGACGTTCGCAGTAGAGTCGGCAAGCAGTAGTTGATGGCAGAGCAGCACGTTCGCTTGACTTTCACTGGTCACAGTCGGTGAAGGCTGGAAATTGCCGAAGATCAGGTGAGAGACAGAGCTGGATATGGCGCGCCGCCGCTGCGGAGTACGGTGGCCGGCGCAGAAACCAGAATACACGCACGCGGCGCTCGCGGCACCAACGAAAGCACATGCCAGCCCCTGACGGCCCCTGAGGGCGCCCCCCGACAACAAACAACCATGGGAGAGAGAGATGTGGAGACGAGATCTGTGTGTGTGCCAGAAGAACTGGTAAAGCGCTATCCGAGGAGATCTTCTGCCGCTCAAATGTGGAAGTTCGGATGGGATCGATAGGTATGGTCTTATAAGGGATACCATAAGCTGGCCACTGAAGACAATATGTATATCACTAGAAGCATCTTTAGATGCTGATTCCAAATCTGCTTTTTGTTTTTGGCCAAACAACCTTCCGAAAGAAGTTATGAGCATTTGAAATTCGAAAATCATCAAGCCATAAGTTTCACAAATTTAGCGAAAAACTGTTCAAAAACACATTGAAAGTAGTTAATCAATTTTGTATCAAGTATATGGCTACAAGGAAGGAAGCCAAATGAAATCAGGATAGATGTTTTTTAGAGCTTTTCGCCAATTTTTAGCCTCTCGAAGCTTGAAAAATTTGGATTTTCAAACTCTCATAACATCCTCTAGGAGCTACTCCACAAAAAAGAGAAGAAATTTGAAACTGCGTCTATCAATCTATATGTTGTCTCCAATGCCAACTCAAATAGTATACTTCCCCTTGTAAGAAAGAATTGCAATCTGTAGAGAATGGTCTTGAAAAGAGGATGTCAAGGATTACGGTAGCGGTATGGGGAAGTAGGATTACTCACGCTTTCAAATGACTATTACATAGAAAGAATTTCTACATGACTTTTTGTTTCGTTCCTTCTCTTGAACGGATTTCTGTTTTCACACCCTCTCCAAGACTCCTCAATAGGGAAAGAGGGTCTAGATTGATTCAACTGAAGGATTTTTCTGAAAAATTTTGAAAACTTATACCGTGCGTTTCATAGCATGGCATGTTCTAGGATGAGATTGTAGATTGTTTACTTTCAAAATAGTTGAAAGATTTGAATATTACGGTAGATGATAGATTGAACAAATATGCTCAATTAAGAGGTCTTGAGATTTGTGAGGAGGCGCTGAAATTGTCAAATTGAGAAAAATGGGGGAAATAAACATCCCTACAGAATTTTCTTATGGGGCCTTCTTGGTATTCCTTAGACGGTGAAAGCGGTATTGATTCTTAGGAGAGTTTCAACGTCACACTATTTACGTTCAGTACAGTTGTTTCGTCACGGGGGGGGGGAGTACGGATTTTGCGTAGATGGAGGGGGGGGGGGGGTGAGGGAAGTAATATAATTATGAATATACAGCCGGGATTGATGCAACATTCTCCAAGTAAATGGCATGATATCGTTAAAACTAAGCATGCAGTCGAAGCTTAAGATTTGGACACAGCTCAAGCTACTTATATGTTCTTTTATATTAAAATGCAATTTTTTAGATTGATGATTGCCTCTGAGTAGAAGCTCTCGGCACAGATGAACGCTAGGAAGTTGTGCTGTAAGGATGATTATTTAAAAAAAGAAAAAACAAATTGCAGAAGCGTTTTCGCCAGCTCCATGGCCGATGAGAAGCCGGCGAAAATGCGACGACGTCTGTCTGGAACGAAGCGATTGGGCTTGACTATCAGCTCTTCGATGAAAGCCGGCAAAAAGCGGGCAGGGCCGTGTGCGAAACGCATAATCTCGAACGCTATGACACCACACACAGCGCGCTGACACCTCAGCACCTACCGTACACCTGCCCTGCGCCGAGGCGATCGAGAACGCAGGAAAAAAACCGCACTAATCAGCCCGAGCGCATTGATGTGCAGGCTCTTTGTATCGGTGTGAGACACGGCGAGTCGTTAATTATGCGTGTAGGAGTTATTAGTGCTGAAGGATTCAAAAGAAACGGTGAGAAAGTTATTCAGAGCCGAAACTGTATGGATGAGTTTGAGGATGGGAATTATGCAGCAATGGTGGCTGAAGAAATTTTTGTGAACACATGCTTGAGCAGTGATTTGTCATCATTCATTGAATATGGGAAGTAGTCAGCTGCCCCCCCCCCCCCTCTGGGCTCGCCGGCCTTCAAAAATGGGAACATAATTTTTAGGGAAAGCAAGATTTCTCAGCCGGATGTAACTTCCTCATAGGATAAATTGATTGTCGACTTTTCATCAAATAAACAAATAAACAAATAACACTGAATTGCAAAAAAATACTAAAATGTACAGAATTTGATTTCCTAACAAACGCCTGAACTTTATATTGAAAAAACAGTACCAGACAATCCACCGAAACTTCCGCAGGACCAGCAAAATTTGCAGCGGTTCCGCAGGATTTTGCGTCAAATCGGCTGAAAACGGGAACTTCTGCAGTTACAAAACACAGCGGAAATTCCGAAAAAGGCCAGTGATTCCGCAGCACTTTGACCTGCCAATACTTCTACAGATTTTTGAATGTGATATCTATTAAGATTTTGCCTTGCCAACAACTAGAACGCATTGTAGGACATGTTATCCGTAGTGCAGAGGATAGTAATTGAGTGCCACAATCAATAGAACAAGGTTCGAATCTCGCTTGGGTGTTCTCTTTTGCTATTGGTTTAGTTCGCATTTCTCGAAACTTCCACGGCACCTCATCTGGGGTACTTCCCCAGCACGTTTAGGAAGCTCAGCAGATGACCCGACGAAACTTGCTCTCAAAGTTCTGCGGAAGTTCCCGGTCAGTTTCTGAGCAGCAGTATCGAATTCAATACGACTTACTGTCTCGCGTTCGGGGTGCCAGCAAAATTTGGCGTATATCTTTATGAGAACGCGCTTTGAACTGAGAACTCTCTTTGTACTTTTGATTGAATTTTTAGTCATTTTGTAAATCAAAAATTCTTAAATGCAAAAGCACATTTTTCTGACTGCTTCTTAAGCAAATGCCATGTTTATCCACTTCCACTTCCGTTTCGGTACAAAACACCCATCATTGCAATATAATTTGTCCGAGTGGATGATGTGGGTAGCGGATAAGTACATGACGCATACGCGGATATGTCTTTCGGTATGTATTATCTCTTTTATACTGTATATTCTACGGCTTTTCTCATAGACATAGATGATCTTATTGGAAGCTTATCTTCCATAATAACTTGAAAACAAAAATAATGTGAGCGTTTAGATCTGGGTTTCAAATAATACTTTAAGCGTTGAAGTTTTGCTTCCTTGTTATTTCGAAAGATACTTATAGTATTTGTGTGGTAGTTTGTAGATTCCTGAAGAATGAATAAGAAGATACAAAGGCTTTTCTAAGATATTCAGTAAAGAAGTTACTGCTGGGTGAATTTGATAATGGCAGCTTCTGCGGCGTCGCACGTCGCGCGCGACGTCGCACGCGATGAGATTGATCATGCTTTATCTGCAGAAAAATAGGATAAAACTCAAATATTATGGCGATCAATCCAGTAAAAGAGTATTTTCTCTTGTCCAACTACCTAATAGCTGGACAAAGATTCGAATTTATCAGCTTTGTATTTTTAGAGGTGACAGGCTTAATTTAAATTATTACTCGATACGTGCTTGGCATTTTCTAGAATGTATCAGTCGAATAAATAAATAGATTAAACTGTACACAAAGTGTTCCATCATTCGATATTTGTTTGATGATAAAATAGCCCTAAGATACTTTGCCTGATAGAAATAGAAAGCCTTACTTGAGATTAAATCTATTTCTAACAGCTTATTTAGAAAAAGTGCTGAAAAAACGAACCGAAATGTTTGAGAAGAATCGATAAGAGATAAAAAGGGCATTGAACGCATAGACTGCCTAGGCTTATTTATCATAAGCTAGAAGCTTTCGTACAAGTTCTATTTCATATAAATCCACTCGAGATCTACTAAGAAGAGATATTACTCATGTTCAAATCAAAAGAACTAGAAATTTTTCGGGACCGAGAAAAGCTTGAAAAAACAAAAAAAATCTCGCACAACCTACATATCAAGTTTTGGGATATTTGATATCCACAAATCGCCACTGCCTTTCAATTTAGATTGTCGAAAGATTTGTAATTTTTAACGAGTGTACTCGTCCGATTTTGTCATTTCTTTCAAAATCGCTATTATTTTCGTCTTCCAAAGCTTTCCCCTACCAAGTTCCAAAGTTATTGTCCCATTTCCCAAACCCATCAACATTCCCGCAGATAGGACGAACTTGCGCCGAAGCGTAGGTTCCCACAGCCTCTACTGTATCAATGCCGAACAAAAAGGTTTGCTCGGACACGACCAGCATCGAACAATAGGGGGTTTTCATAGTTTCGAGCTGTGCGTCATAGAATGTTCAGCGTGTTCTGGGTGGTCTTGGCACAATTTTGGGAACGTAAACGAGGAGGAAAAAAGAGTCGAAACGGACAGTTTCAGAGCAGTTAGACAACTCGCCGGAAATTGCGCAGGAGCAAGCAAGATTTGCAACAGTTCCGCAGGATTTTGTTCACTATTACAAAAGTGAAGCGTTGAAAGTGGGCCGCAGGATCTCCACGTTAGGCTGGTTGAACACACGGAAACTTCCGCAGGAAGTTTTCCGATATTTTCGTGGTGTTTTTACAAACACCGCGAAAATATCGGAAAATGCCAACGGTTCTGCAGCACTTTGATCTCTCAGTACTCATCTATTATTACCTATTCTTCTAAACTTCCGCAGCACCTCATTTGTTTTTCCGCAGCACGTTTACGGAACTTCCGCAGGTGACAAGACGGAACTTTCCCAAGCGTTCTGCGGAAGTTCCGGTCAGTTGTCTGAGCACTTATAAAGTTTGTGCAGTTTTTTCCTATTTTGTATTTTTTCCTGAGATTGAATCTATCTAGATGTCACCTGACTACCTACTTTCGCCTTTCGCAAGTCGTCCGTCTACAAACTTTGAGACACAAATACGCCACAAATTGCCTAGCCCCTTTCGAAGCGGCATAACACTTGACAGGGGCAATAAT